TGCCTCGCACAACCACTTCAAAAATACAACTAAAAGACATAACAGACATCATCCAGAACCACAGGAAGGCTGGCTGAGTGGAATTTCTACAACTAGAAGGAAAGAGAAAAGCATACCGAGACTCAGAGGAGGTGCAGTGCTGAAGTAAATACAAAGGTGGGGAGGTGCATGCAGAGAGGGCTGGCGGCTGAGGACACGATTGTCTTTTTCAATCGGGAGGGAGTCTCAGGCTCTGAGCTCCAGTTCTGGGCGAGTCTCTGGGGACCCAGACTCATACGGGAGAAACGGGACTGTCTGGCATCGGTTGGAACTCGAGGGCAGCTTTCTCTCGGAGGCACTCACGGCGATTGCCAGGACCTCTGAAGGCAGGACTGAGAGCAGCCATACTGCTGGCTCCCTCAGCCCACCCTGTTGATCCCCTGGGACCCCGCCCCGCCCAAGCCGTGCATGGAGGCTTTTGCATATGAAAGGCCTGGCCCTTTGCAATCTGAAAATTACCTAACAAACTGCAGCTGCCCCAAGGCCCCAGGCAACTCGCATTGCTTCACAGCTGGCTTCTGCTGGGTAGCCTCAGGCAAAGGCTAGATTAGCACCTCCTTAGATCCAAGAGCCATTGTAGCCAGTGGTCAGAGTGGGACCATCAATTATAACTCCTCAGATCTATAAGGGACACACTCAGGGGGCAGACTCAGTGAGCACCAAAGCCCCACTGAAGCAAGTCTTGCCCCATAAGGGTGTCTTCAGCACAGAAGTTCTCCCACCATAGACACTGCTGATTCTCACAGCCAATTGGCCTGGAGGTCAAATCCTCCCAGTTTTATCTACAACAATCAAGGCTTAACTACAACAAGACTGTGCACAAAGCCCACAAGGGGGTGCACCAAGAGTGTCTACCTCAGGTAATTGGGACACTTAGCACAGAAAGCCACTCTATCGACACAGCGAAGCATAAAAAATGCTGAGACAAAGAAACAGGACACAAATGACAGAAATGGAGGAAAGCAAACTACTGGATATAGAGTTCAAAACCACACTTTTTAGGTTTTTCAAGAATTTTCTAGAAACTGCCGATAAATGTAGTGAGATCCTCAAGAAATCTAGTGAGACCCTCGATGTTGTGATAAAGGACCAACTAGAAATTAAGCATACACTGACTGAAATAAAGAATATTATACAGACTCCCAACAGCAGACCAGAGGATCGCAAGAATCAAGTCAAAGATTTGAAATACGAAGAAGCAAAAAACACCCAACCGGAAAAGCAAAATGAAAAAAGAATCCAAAAATACGAAGATAGTGTAAGGAGCCTCTGGGACAGCTTCAAGCGCACCAACATCCGAATTATAGGGGTGCCAGAAGAAGAGAGAGAGCAAGATATTGAAAACCTATTTGAAGAAATAATGACAGAAAACTTCCCCTACCTGGTGAAAGAAATAGACTTACAAGTCCAGGAAGCGTACTGAACCCCAAACAAAAGGAATCCAAAGAGGACCACACCAAGACACATCATAATTAAAATGCCAAGAGCAAAAGACAAAGAGAGTATCCTAAAAGCAGCAAGAGAAAGACAGTCAGTTACCTACAAGGGAGTACCCATACGACTGTCAGCTGATTTCTCAACAGAAACTTTGCAGGCCAGAAGGGAGTGGCAAGATATATTCAAAGTGATGAATGCCAAGAACCTACAACCAAGATTACTTTATCCAGCAAAGCTATCATTCAGAAGTGAAGGTCAGATAAAGAGCTTCACAGATAAGAAAAAGCTAAAGGAGTCCATCACCACCAAACCAGTATTATATGAAATGCTGAAAGTTATCCTTTAACACTTGGATTGCGGGAAACGAGTTAAGTCAGCTCGCGTGAATTGCGCGTACTCCGTGGGAGCCGTCTTAAACTCGGTTCATATAGATTTGCGGTGGAGTGCGGGAAACGTGTAAACTCGGGCCGATTGTAACTGCGTATTACCAAATATTTCATTTCAATCGAACCCATACTTCAAAAGATATAGGCATTTTAACGCGCCATCTTATATTTTGGCGGGAAATTCACCCGACACCGAAAAGTTAAGAAGAGGAAGAAGAAGAAAAAGGTAAAGATACAAATTATGAATAACAAATACACATCTATCAACAAGTGCATCTAAAAATCAAGTGAATAAATAATCTGATGAACAGTATGAACTGGTGATTATAATAGAATCAGGGGCATAGAAAGGGAATGGACTGACTATTCTTGGGGGGGGGGAATGGAGTGTGGGGGGTGCGGGAAGAGATTGGACAATGATCGTGCACCTATGGATGAGGACAGTGGGTGGGGAGTGAGGGCGGAGGGTGGGGTGGGAACTGGGTGGAGGGGAGCTATGGTGGGGAAAAAAGAGGAACCAATGTAATAATCTGAACAATAAAGATTTAATTTTAAAAAATAATAAAAAACCTGAAGTCAGCAGAGACAGATGATGTGGGCCAAACAGAGCACATCTGTGTTCAAATTGAGTCCATGAGCCTCTGCTCATGTGAGTTTTCTGGTCTAAATCTTCCCCGGTACCCAGTCGGGCAGCTATGACGACGACGATGATGATTTCAGTGGATTTACCTAATACTCCCAAATCTCATATTTTATTTGTCTCAGGAGTGAAATTAGAAAGGAGCTTGGAATTGGGGGGAAGAGCTGGGCATAGACACACAGATTTAGAGCAAAAATGTTCTGATTCCATGTATTTCAAAAGTATTTCAGTCGAAGAGCCCTTTGTTCCAAGTCGGCAGGTCTGCCAAAGCCTTGCACGGGAAGGATTCTCACAGGGTGCTCTGCTGAAGAGGTGTCCGACCTGCCTGTCCTGTCTCCCCCAGCACAGAGTGGCAGCTGGGCTAGCCTCATGGAACCCCAACAGACACAGTTTGAAAACCGCTGATTTTGTTCAACCCTCATTTACACACGGGAAAAACGGAGGCCCAGAGAGGTTGTGGTTTTGATTAAGGTGCACACCTGTGTCGGAGGCTGGGAGTGCCCCTCAGCCCTTGGCCATGTGACTCTCCACCCCCAGAGCCAACTTCTGGAACCGGCTGGTGAAGAGGGAGCAGGAGGAGCTGCGCACCCAGAGCAAAGACATGCAAACATCCCTAGAGAAGCTGCAGCAGGAAGTGAGGCTCTGGCAGGGCCAGTATGAAGGGGCGAAGGAGGACCTGCAGAGCATGGAAATCTCGGTGAAGAAGCTGGACAGCCAGTGCGAGATGAGGCCTGGGCTGAAGGGCTCAGGACACCGGGCCTGTGCCCTGGGCGACAGCCTTGGCTCAGCCAGGTGGGAATGTGTCCTCGTTGGCGCCTGTGCTCAAAGACTGTGTGTGAGTGTCACTTTGAGCACGTGGCCTTTTTTTTCTTCTTTTGGGAACAGATTCCCAGCAGTGGAATCACAGGGGCGCATGGTATGTGAGCCATTGTTGACCTGTGTTCTAGGCGTTCGTCTGTGTGAAGAAGAACTTGGAAGAGGAAAAATATAAACTCAGGAGCAGGATTCTGACATTGGCCAAGAGGAACAGGCGGCTTCTAAAGGAGATTGAGGAAAATACACAGCGCATGTAAGGGGTGTGGGCTGACCTGTCCACAAAGGGGCCCTGGCTTCCAGCCCCGAGCCTGGGCCTCGACATTCTGGGCAGAGAGCCCCCTGGCGCACTGGTGTCCCAAGGGCAAGGGCTCATACCATCTTCCCAGCACATCCTCCTCTCGTTTTCCTGGAACGGTTCTAGATTTCTGCAAGTAGGGGTGGTTGGCTTTTCAAAGATACTGCCCACTGCCAGATGGTTCTTAATCTGCTCTTGGAATTCAGTTCAGTTTTAAAAATATGATGGCGGTAGAGTGGTGCCTAGGGAAGGAATTCAGATTGCGGGCAGAGCCCTTTCTGTGTGTTTTCCCTTAACAGGCTGGAGAGAGGGTTGTTGGTGCACCCTGGTTGTCCTCCCTCTGCTGACATGACACATTCCTGGCTTTGGCGTAGACCCTGTAAGGTGCACAGAACCAGTGACCTGGTGGCCAGGAACTAGTAGGCGTGATGGGATGTGAGCAGAGCTGTGTGCACAGCAGACAGATGTTGAGGAGCTTCAAAGAGGCCTAGAAGGAAGCATGGTGGTGGGAGTTGGGGTGCTGCTGCTGACCCAGATGGGGACAGGGCTGGCCGGTGGGGAGACGTGACAGTGGACCACAGGTGGTCTGGATGCAGGGAAGGTGCAGGCAGTGGCAGGAGGGAAGGCTGCAGCAGCCAGCGCTCAGCTGTGGAAGGCGTCCATGCCGGGCTAAGGAGTCGGGTTCACTGGGAAGTGAGTGTTTATGGGAAGCTGGTGTACAGGCCCAGGAGCTGCCAGAAAGGAGGGCGGGAGGAAAGGCCTTGGTGTTGGGAGCCTTGTGGTTGGAAGTCAAGTAACCCGAGATGCATCTTGTGGGTCGAGGGTGGTCTTCCCCCCTCGGTGCTGTGCTGCGGGACTGTCCTTCCTTGTGGTCAGGAATGGCTGGCCATGTGGGACAGAGGGACATGGTCACAGTGACCCTGGGGGCACTGTCCCTGCTCCGTGGGTAGCAGGCCTGCTTTACTGTTCTCTTAGATTCATCTCCTTTTCTACAGGCCAGCTACCCCAGATGGTTTATGTGGAAAGCCACACTGTAGTTTTGGGGTAGAAATGACTGTGGCCTGAAGTTGGCTCTCTGTAACGCAGCGGGTAAAAATTACCAGCAGAGGTTGGGCAGGTCCCAACTAGAAGATTCGGGTCCTGGTACCCAGGGGGTGATCTGATGATGGTTTTGTATTAGACAGTTCTGCAGGAGGCCAGGGAGATGGCAGGCTTGCTGAGCCTGCTCCGAGCGGAGTCTTCCCCGGTCCTGGGAGGGTGGTGCCTGCCCTCCGTGAGTTTGTGTGCCTGGAGTGGAGGGATGGTCAGAGCCAGACAGGAAAGCGCTCTAGCATAAGGCCCAGCAGCACGATTGTGGGAAGAGAACAACACAGACTAGAGGAACAGCGCCAAGGGCATTAGGAGCAGAGCAGGATCGGTGGTTCGGGGTCCAGTGGTGTGAGAGCCATCACTTTTCACGGGATGCTTACTTCACGGTGAACTCACGGAAAGTTCCTCATGTTGGTGGGACCTGGGCAGCTTCATGACTGACGGAGTCTGAGCAGCTGCCTCGACCCAGGGGACTCATTTTCCAGCAAGGAAACCAGGGTCTGAGCTGTCAGGACCCACGGGTTTCCGACCCTGAGTTTCACATGGCTCGGGGCTTGCTCTCTGGAGACGACGTTCAGCCTGATCCTTGGTGCTTCAGCAGGTCTCCCCCACGTGTTAGGGTTCCCGGACCCACGTCACGTGCTTTCATCCCCATGTTCCCGACTCAGCAATCACAAGGCCATGAGCCCCGTGATGTCTGAGTCCCAGGAAAATGTTGGCCCTTCTGGGAGAGGTCCCAGGCTGAGCTGAGTCAATTTACGTGTTTTATTTAAAAATCAGATTGCTTTTCTTTCTCCTCTATTTACAGAGGAAAAGGGTATTTCTTACCAACAATAATAGAAGAGGAGGAGGAAACAGTCGTGGATTCCTCCGAGTCCCAGGATGCTGCTCCCAGGAAGTGAGTTGATTTAATGGCAGTAACTTAAACACAGAACAGAAAGCTTGCTCTTTCCTGAGTGAGGAAAGCTGTAGCCATCTACCTCGGTAGCTTCATGACTGACAGAGTCTGAGTAGCTGCCTCGACCTAGGGGACTCGTTTTCCAGCAAGGAAACCAGGGTCTGAGCTGTCAGGGCCCACGGGTTTCCGACCCTGAGTTTCACATGGCTCGGGGCTTGCTCTCCTGAGACGACGTTACGTTCAGCCTGATCCTTGGTGCTTCAGCAGGTCTCCCCAACGTGTTAGGGTTCCCGGACCCACACCACGTGCTTTCATCCCCATGTTCCCGACTCAGCAATCACAAGGCCATGAGCCCCGTGATGTCTGAATCCCAGGAAAATGCTGGCCCTTCTCGGCCAGGTCCCAGGCTGGTCCAATGAGTCAATTTACGTGTTTTATTTTAAAAACCAGATTGCGGCGCGCCGACTGCGGGGACCTGCCTGCCCACATGGACCACACTTCATCGACTTAGGCTCCGGTCCGGTCCGACCGTTACTGCCGAAAACGGAAAGCCTTGGGCGGGCTGCCGATTGGACACCGTGCCGGAAGTGGGAACCGGAAACGGTGTTCGGGGCTGCCAGGGTTGGCTCCAGCAGCGGCGGTTGCAGCCGAGTCCCTCGCGGGCGGCGCGCGCTGTGCTGGATCAGTTGGTGCTGCCGGGTGAGGAGCTGCGGCTGCCCGAGCAGGAGGATGCCGAAGGCCTGGGAGGCACAGGGGAGCGACCGCTGTGCCTAAATGCCGGCGAGCGCTCCCGGGTGCGCGTCCTGTGCCCGGCGGCGGCGGCGGAGTTCACTGGGTGGACTCGCAGCAGAAGCGGTATGTCCCAGTGAAAGGAGACCATGTGATTGGCATAGTGACGGCTAAATCGGGAGATATATTTAAAGTCGATGTTGTCTTACTTGGCATTTGAAGGTGCAACTAAAAGAAACAGACCAAATGTGCAGGTTGGAGATGTCATTTATGGACAGTTTGTGGTTGCTAATAAAGATACGGAACCAGAGATGGTTTGTATTGACCGCTGTGGACGAGCCAACGGAATGGGTGTGATTGGACAGGATGGTCTACTTTTTAAAGTGACTTTGGGCTTAATTGGAAAGCTGCTAGCTCCAGACTGTGAAATCCTACAGGAAGTGGGAAAACTCTACCCGCTGGAAATAGTGTTTGGAATGAATGGAAGAATATGGGTGAAGGCAAAAACCATTCAGCAGACGTTAATTTTGGCAAACGTTTTAGAAGCTTGTGAACATATGACAGCAGATCAAAGAAAACACATCTTCTCCAGGTTGGCAGAAAGTTGATCTATGTGGATTTTTTTATAGTTGAGCCAAGAGACTGGATTCCCTGGGGAAACATTTTTCAGGTGAACCTCTCCCCATTAATCTTCAGAAGATAAGATATTATCTTATGTGAGTCTTAAAATATTTTTATAAACAAGTCACTGGTTGCCACTCATGTTCTTGTGGGTGAAAAAAATCATAAAATAGTACTATTTTTTCTTTTATAATAAAGTTTACTAAAAGTTAGTATTATGATTTACTTGGTGTTAATTTCCTTAGTTTTGCTGGAAGTAAGCATTGAAATAACACTTATTTTCTGATAATAGTGAAACGTGTTCATCAAAGAAAATGTAGAATACATAAAAAGTATGAAGCAGCAAACAAAAATCACTTGTAATCCTATTATGTAGTGTTGAGTATGTAACAGCTAACAATTATCATATGTTTACAAATCAAGTATTGTTCCAAGTGTTTTGTTTGGATTGACTTATTTACTCTTAGTAACTGCAAAAGACAACTTCCTAGTGCGAGAAACTGAGGCTTAACTTGGCCAACATTCTCAGCCACTACCTGCGAATATATGTTTTTCAAAATGGAATTATAGAATTATATTTTATATACTAGTCTGTAATATACTTTGTCCACTTCAAACATTTAAATATATTTCTTTCATGATTGCTATTAAAAATTCCATAGTTGTGCCCTAACCGGTTTGGCTCAGTGGATAGAGCGTCAGCCTGCAGACTGAAGGGTCCCAGGTTCGATTCCGGTCAAGGGCATGTACCTTGGTTGCGGGCACATCCCCAGTAGGGAGTGTGCAGGAGGCAGCTGATCGATGTTTCTAACTCTCTATTCTCCCTTCCTCTCTGTAAAAAAATCAATGAAATATATTTTTTAAAAAAATAAAAACCAGATTGCTTTTCTTTCTCCTCTATTTACAGAGAAGAAGGAAATTTCTTACCAACGGTAAAAGAAGAGGAGGAAACAGTCGTGGATTCCTCCGAGTCCCAGGATACTGCTCACAGGAAGTGAGTTGATTTAATGGCAGTAACTTAAACACAGAACAGAAAGTTTGCTCTCTCATGAGTGAAGAAAGCTGTAGCCATCTACCTCGGTAGCTTCATGACTGACAGAGTCTGAGTAGCTCCTCGATCCAGGGTGTAAAAGGCCGTGGGGGTCCAGGAAAGGCCTGACCCCATCCAAGTCATGTAAAGGACATGAACTTGGCTTGCACCCCAGTTCTTGTGATCTAGGCAAGCAGACTTTTGTCATAGCAACTGTCATACATAGATGGAACTAGACAAAGCTTGCCCAGTCTTGCCCAGCTTGTAACGATCTGCTACTTCCCCATGATAGGCCAAGCCCTAGCAGTGATCTATGAAGCATGACCGGCCACAGCTTAGCTATAAAACAGTGTGTGTAAAAAATAAAGTTGCTGGTGCTGGTGCCTTGTGCCACTAAGCCCGGTCTCTGGAGCTTTCATCCCACGCCACCTCTACCCTGCGGGACCCCTTGGGAGCGGGCCTCCACAATTGGCGCCCAAACAGGGACTTGAAGGTGGGCTTCGTGAGGACCCCGGAGTCACAGTCGGCCGAGTCAATCAATCAATCAAGCAATCAATCAAGTAATAGTAAGGGGAATTTGTATTCATTAGGATTAAAACATGGGGCAATTAGAGACCAAAGAGCGCTCTCTGTATGCGCAGATGTTAAAGAACATGCTGCAAGCAAGAGGGGCTCGAGTAACTACCTCACAGCTAGAGCGGTTTTTAAATTTTGTGCAGGAAGTCTGCCCGTGGTTCCCTGAGAAAGGAACCGTTAACTTAGAAACATGGCAGAAAATTGGAAAACAAATGCGCAATCATTATAAAGCCCTTGGGCCAAGTAAGACCCCAGTCAATGCATTTTCCTTATGGAATTTAATACGGGATTGTTTAGATCCCAGGCATGACCATAATCAACCATCTCTTAAGCCAGAAAAGAAGAAGAGAAATATTAAAAATTGCATAAGCACCTGCTCTTAATAATCTAAGAAATACTAGCTGTAAAGGATTGAAGTTTCTAAGAATAAGGAATTATAAGAAGAAGAGAAATATTAAAAGGAAATTAATCAAATAGTACAGGCCAGTAAGTCAAATGTAATAATTAATATCTCTTAATAATTATAAAAAATATATCATCTTTAAATCATATATACACATATATATTTAATAATCTTTCAAGTTAGATTTCAAAACTATAACCAAGGAATGATTTTGGGACATTTCATAGACCCTGAAATGTTTTCAAAAGTTTATTCTCTCTTCTTAAAGGATTTTTTAATAAAGCCAATTTAATATACTTGAAATCACATGGAAAGCTTTATCAAATAAAAATTAATAAATATATATTTTAAGTTTTGCCTCTAAGAAAGGGCAAAACAAGTTATTTAAAATTTCTTAAAATACAGCAATAGAATTTTAAGATATAATTTAAAATAACAAAAGCTCCTTGCTACTACATTTTAAATTAGGCTAGAGATAGACAGTATTTACACCTCGTAAATCAGACATAAAACTTTACTAAATTTACTAACTTTATGAATAAGGGTACCTACCATAGGAAGTCAGTATCTTTATAAGCAATTAAATCCTAGTAAATTCTTCACTCATATTCCTGGAATCCCCTATAGTCCCCAAGAACAAAGCATAGTTGAAAGGGCACATCATTCCCTGAAAAATCAAATCCAAAAAACAAAGAAGGGGGAGCTAGGGGGTCCATACTCTCCTCACCAAATATTACAACATTCACTATTTAAATTTTTTAAAATCAGCAGCATGGGGAAATAGCTGCTGAAAAACACTTTGTTCCTCAAGAACATAAGCCTAATTCTAAAGTCATGTACCGGGATCCGGAGTCCTCCTTTTGGAAAGGCCCGGTGGAGTCGCTAACTTGGGGAAGAGGGTATGCTTGTGTTTAAGTTCCAGATGCAGACGTGATCGGATCTCTGAGGAAGAGGATGAGAAGCCATAAACCTTCAGGACACGCTCCAGCGGAGGCGTCGTCTGCAGACCCTTCGGACGGAGATGGCCCCTCCTCACCTGGGGCTCTTTGAAGAGACGGATGCGGAAGCTCAAAGCATTCACTCGGAACTCTTCCTGGGGATTGACTTTGGCTTTAATTACCTTGACTGGACTTTTGCCAGTGACTTCGGCTGCAGTTCACTGGACTCATGTGATTGATCCACCCACCTTCACTCTGCAGACTTGGACTGATCCTGATCCGCCTTTGACTACCAATGACTTGGACTGTATTCAAGGGACTTGGGTGAGGCCTAATGGACATTTGGGGGACTCTCATTTTCAAGCATTGTTTAACCAGACTCTCACCTGGAATGTACCCACTGTTCCTCTGTATGTTCCTTAATAGCTTTTATTGTATTTACTATGGTAATTATCTCTTCTGCTGTAGCATCAGGATTTGCTTTAAAAACCTCTATCCTTACAGCCCAACAAGTAGATAGTGGATTACACAACCTCGCCTCTAACTAGGAAACGGGGCAAGTTTATATTAGTAGCTAGAGCAATGGGGCAAATTGATTAATAAGTACCTTGGTAATGGGGCATTATTGATTAATTATGGTTTTATATAATTCACTTATGTTTTAGTAGCTGCACTTAGCAACAATGATTGATTGTATAACTTTAAAGGAAATTCAGGCTATAATAAGTACAAAGGGACCTTGGCTTCCGCCTGCAGAAGTAGCAGCAAAAATTTTTAATGAGATTGAAAGTTGGTTTTCTTCTACCCGGTGGACCTCGTGATTGGGTTCCGGGATTATGCTACTTATATATGTAACCATTCTGCTTTGTCTACTTCCAGTCTATATCCAAGCCATTGGAGGAAGCCTCCAGTCCTTGCAAACCCCTGTGCATGAACTGCGCCTGAAACACAAAGAAGGGGGAGATGTAAGAGGCCATGGGGGTCCAGGAAAGGCCTGACCCCACTCCAAGTCATGTAGAGGACATGAACTTGGCTTGCACCCCAGTTCTTGTGATCTAGGAAAGCAGACTTTTGTCATAGCAACTGTCATACATAGATGGAACTAGACAAAGCTTGCCCAGTCTTGCCCAGCTTGTAACGATCTGCTACTTCCCTATGATAGGCCAAGCCCTAGCAGTGATCTATGAAGCATGACCAGCCACAGCTTAGTATACAACAGCGTGTGTAAAAAATAAAGTTGCTGGTGCCTTGTGCCAGTCCTCCTAACCCCGGTCTCTGGTGCTTTCATCCCACGCTACCTCTACCCTGCAGGACCCCTTGGGAGCGGGCCTCCACACCAGGGGACTTGTTTTCCAGCATCCCACGCCACCTCTACCCTGCGGGACCCCTTGGGAGCGGGCCTCCACACCAGGGGACTCGTTTTCCAGCAAGGAGACGACGTTCAGCCTGATCCTTGGTGCTTCAGCAGGTCTCCCCCACGTGTTAGGGTTCCCGGACCCACACCACGTGCTTTCATCCCCATGTTCCCGACTCGGCAATCACAAGGCCATGAGCACCGTGATGTCTGAATCCCAGGAAAATGCTGGCCCTTCTGGGAGAGGTCCCAGGCTGCGTGAGTCAATTTTCGTGTTTTATTTTAAAAACCAGGTTGCTTTTCTTTCTCCTCTATTTACAGAGAAGAAGGAAATTTCTTACCAACAGTAAAAGAAGAGAAGGAAACAGTCGTGAATTCCTCCGAGTCCCAGGATACTGCTCCCAGGAAGTTAGTTGATTTAGTGGCAGTAACTTAAGCACAGAAAGCTTGCTCTTTCACGAGTGGGGAAAGCTGTAGCATCTAGCGCAGTGACCAGTTAGTTGGGCCCGCACCTTCCCCTCTATGGCAGGTCTGCTGTGCGCAGGTCTCCCAGCACTAAAAGAATTTAGAGTTTCTTTCGGTCCCGCCGTCCATACTCAGCGTTATCCTATGAGGGATGGCGAAGGCCAGCTGCCATGTCCTGTTGAAGGGGCAGAGAGTCTGTGGTTTAGAGCCACTAAAGCAGGACTATCAGGCTGTGTCTCCAGGTTTCAGGACCTAGAACGCCATGTTTCTGTTTTGGGAAGGAAGCGTGGGCCGGACTCCTGGGCCAGCACCCATGGTCTTAGGTCACAGGAACCTCTTGGTCTTCCCTACCTTCCTCTGGAGTCTCTGGACCCAGGGTGGTTCACAAACACGTTCCCTTTTGCAGAGCAGCAGCCCCGGGGGTGGGCGGCTCGGTCCCCGAGGCTGCCGGCCTCCCCCGTGCAGCAGGGCTTCCCTGGCGCGGGCCTGAGCCCCAGGAGCTGGGCCTTCAGAGTGTCCTGTCCCAGCCCAGCCTTGAGGTCATATCACCATGAATCCTGCAAGGCCTCTCTGTTGGCATCACAGAAGCACAGAATTTCCCACCTTCCGCCTGACCCTTCTGTTGACAGGGAAATGAGGCATCGATGAGGAAATTAGTTTGTGAGAGCACAGTGCTGTTCTGTGGCAGAGCCAGGATTAGAACCCACGTGTGGTTCTTCTTGTTACATTAGAATGCCTCCGTTTCTGGTTAGCTGCAGTGTATTACCCTTTAAACTCACTGTTTTTATTTTATTTTTTTTAACCTCACTTGAGGATATTTTTTCCATTGATATTTGGAGAGAGTAGAAGGGGAGGGGGGGGGGAGAGAAACATCAATGTGAGAGACACATCGATTGGTTGCCATCCCGTACACACCGGCCAGGGCCAGGGATGAACCTGATTGCTGTATTTGAAGTTCCATTTCCCGAGAGGCTAGTGTGAGTTTCTGCCACAATGAACGCTTCTACCACCTCTGGGTCTATGTGAATTCACTGCAAATTGTGTTCCACCCCCTGAGCCCCACTTACGAAGATCATGGTGCTGGCGAAGAGCTCCATCCTTCTGAACCCCAAATTAACGGCCACTTGCCCAGCTGGAGGGACAGTGAGGGCTGGCAGAGTCCTAAGCCTCTACTTCTAATAGGAACAAGCGCTGGATTGGAGCCAGAACCTTCATCAAATTCTTCAAACGCAAAAACAACGGTTCTGGAGAACCAGCGAAGCCGACCCCAGACAGCCCTCCCGGGCCCCCGGAGGCCACGCCATCATGCTCATACCGGATGGAAGAGCGAGACGCCCACAGTGTGCCTGTGGGAAAAGGTAGGAGGGTGACCTGGCTGCAGGCGGGAAATGAAGGGGAGGACCTCAGGTCTCCCTCGTGGACAGGGCAGCACCAACGAGATGGCGTGCTGGGTGTGCACACGTGTGTAGGCGCCTGAAGGGGGTGTGCTCCCCCATTAGGTATGTGAACAGCCAAGTAGAAAATATAAACCCACGTCCGTGTTGTGGCAGTTTCGTCCCAGAACAATTTAGTTCCTTTAGCACGAGAAGCCCCGCCCATCACATACAGGTGGTGGGTCCTAGAATGTCCAGAGCGGATCTCCATACAGTTACCGCAGAGAGAGCCCCAGAGGGTAAGTTTTGGGGTTTCCTTGTATCTGCCGGGCCTGGGAGAAGCCATTTCCGGAGGGAGATCCCGGTGCATTTAACACGGAATGGACACGTGCAAGGTCTTCAGCACGGCCTCGGGCTGAGCTCTCCGTCCCTCTGAAAAGCAGGTGCGGTTCTCTTCTCCCGCCTTCCTGGCCTTGAGTCCTCCCACCAGGGGGCGCTGTACCTGGACATTTAGGGCTGTGGTCGGAGTGAGCCAGAGGTTCCGAAATGGGTTTCTAGTTGATGTGCTGCATATGTTTCATCGGATCTAAGAGGTTGGCAGTTGTAAGCTGTAGGACTGTGTGCTCATAGAAAGGAAATGAATGGGTGGTGGCAGTGACGATTTTGTCAGAATTGCCACCTAGCCGACAGTGATGCGAGAGATGCTCCAAGCTGCATCCTGACTTCAGAGATGTAAGGTTTGGGGGTGAAAATGTGCATTTTACAATCGATTAAACAAAGCCATCGTCTTAAACGTGGTTTTGTTTTCAAATTCACTTTTAAATATCACTGTGTACATTATTTACCTCTAAACCTGCCCAACAAGCCCCGGAGAAAGTAAATTTTATGAAGGACACTAGGGCTTTCTGAGGACCAGGGCCCTGCCTGAGACTCGTGTGCTCTCAGCGGCTGGTGTGACAGTAGCTGACAGGGCCCAGGGCCTGTGCCAAGCCGCCTTCTGAGTGTGACGTGTGCACAAGCCTCTCCGGGTGGCAGTCACCACCTCAAGTCCCGGTGTGTCACTGGAGAGGCTAAAATGAGGTGTGCACACGCATGCCCACTGTCTGGGGACTAGTGCTTGCATCCCCAGTCTTCACAGCAGGTGAATTAGGTCAAAAGCTCACGTGCAGGTAAACGATAATGAAGCTTTCATACTGGCTCCTTACATGTTGTGACATTTACCACCTCAACTTGTGTTATTGTCTAAACTGGCTTAATGACTATAATCAGCCTAATGGAGTTGGCAAACCTTTCAGAGAAAAAAGTGCTCGACTGATCCAAACTGTCGTTGGGGTCCATGAAGGAGCAGGTCAGTGTTAAATGTGAGTAACGGCAGCCGTGCAATGGTGCTTCCTGGGCTCAGGCCCTTTAGGTAGTTGACCCGCTCTATCTATCGCCTTTGGTTCTAACTGCCGGGTGAGGTCGGCACCGTTCCTGTCCCTGTTCAGAGCTGGGAAAGTGAGGTTTGCCAGGGTTAAGCCCTGGCCCAGAGAGTAAGTGTTGGAGCTGGGATCCGAACCCGGGTCTGACGGATACGGGGCCTGAACTTTGACCCCTGTGAGCACTGCCTGCACTTCAAGCTGCTTTGGTCCCTGAAGATGCTGAACCCGCCTGGGGCCCCATCATTGAGTAGTGGGTCCTTATCCTGTGGTGGGAGCTGTGGTCAGCAGGTGGCGCTGTGGGGAAAGAAGTAACCGAGGTTCCTCTATGGACTTGAATCCTCAATCAGAAATCCGGTGAATCAGTTACGTTCATGTACATGACATGCTCAGAAAGACCAATTGTCTGCTCTGGTCAGACTGTAATTTAAAGGCCATGAGGGTAGGTTTAGAGTAGAGGATGTGTAGAAATCTAAACAGGAGCCCTAACCGGTTTGGCTCAGTGGATAGAGCGTCAGCTTGCAGACTCAAAGGTCCCAGGTTCAATTCCGGTCAAGGGCATGTACCTTGGTTGCAGGCACATCCCCAGTGGGGAGTGTGCAGGAGGCAGCTGATCAATGTTTCTCTCTCATTGATGTTTCTAACTCTATCCCTCTCCCTTCCTCTCTGTAAAAAATCAATAAAATATATTTTTTAAAAATCTAAATAGGAATATTTTTTCAAAATATATTTTTTATTGATTTCAGAGAGGAAGGATAAGGTAGATAGAAACATCAATAATGAGAAAGAATCATTGGTTGGCTGCCTCCTGCACGCCCCCTACTGGGGATTGAGACGCATCCCTGGCATGTGCCCTTGGCCGAAATCAAACCTGAGACCCTTGAGTCCTCAGGCCTATGCTCTATCCACGGAGCGAAACCAGCTAGGACTAAACAGGAATAATTCTTGATGTTGAGGGTGTCTTGGCATCAAAAAGAGGTAGAGCCCTATCCGGTTTGGCTCAGTGAATAGAGCACCGGCCTGTTGACCAAAGGGTCCTAGGTTCGATTCTGGTCAAGGGCACTACCTCAGTTGCAGGCTCCTCCCCGGCCCGGGCTCTGGTTGGGGCTTGTGCAGGAGGCAACAAATTCATGTGTTTCTCTCACATCAATATTTCTGTCTTTCCCTCTCCCACTCTCTCTAAAAAGCAATGGGAAAATATCTTTGGGTGAGCATTAAAAAAAAAAAAAGAGGTAGGTACTCTCATTATTTTCAAACATCCTCTATAAGAGCTTATGTTAGATGTTTAGAATTATTAGTGAGCCCTGGCCGGTTTGGGCTCAGTGGTTAGAGCACTGACCCACGAACAAAGGGGCGTGGGTTTGATTCCTGGTCAAGGGCATGTACCTCGGTTGCAGGTTTGATCCCCGGCCCCAGTTGGAGTTTGTGCGAGAGGCAACCAGTGGATGTGTCTCTCTCACATGGATCTTTCTTTCTCTCTCTCACTCTTTCTCCTTCCCCACTTCCGCATTCTCTCTAAAGATCAATGGAAAAAATATCCTCCAGTGAGGATTTAAGAAAAAAAGTATTAGTGAATAGTTAGGTAGACAGTTTTACTGCAGAAACATACCGTTAAGTGTTCCAAGGTCTTTGAACAGGAGCAGGAGTTAGTGTGTGTCACCAAGGTGTCAGGAAGCCTGTCATTAAAAGGGCTGAGTAAGCCCAGCTGGTGCAGCTCAGTTGGTTGAGCATCGTCCCATGAACCTGGAGGTCACGGTTTGATTCCTGGTCAGGGCACGTGCCTGGGTTGTGGGCTTGATTCTCAGGAGGGGACCTTTGGGAGGCAGCCGATCCATGATAGAAACAGCATTGATCTTTCTATTTCTCTCTCCCTTCCTCTCTCTGAAATCAATAAAAACATATTTTTAAAAAAGGATGAGTAAGAAAAGGCAGGTCCTAAATTAACAAACATCATATTTAATAATTTAACACATTGAAACTGAAAAATGGTCTAACACAGTGGTCGGCAAACTGCAGCTCGCGAGCCACATGCAGCTTTTTGGCCCCTTGAGTGTGGGAGTCGGAGGGTTTGTCCCTGTGGCGGCCTCTGTGCTTGGGGACTGTCCTGTCCTAAGTGCTGAGTCAAGAAAATGTTTCCCTGAAGTTTCCCTTTCATAGGGGGCTCCCCTCAACATCCTCTGTCCCCCGTCACCACAGGAAGGAGAGAGGAGGGCGGCACCGACCATGTGTCAGAGAGCTCAGTTTGAGTTTCCAGCAAAAGGTGCCAAGAGCCCTCGCCTACAGGGTACCTTCTGGCAGAATCGACATTCTCTGCTGCCCCCTGCCGTTCACCCGGATTTTAATCTTTGGTAAGACCCACCTTCAGTGAGACTCAACTGCAATGAAGTCACGAGCCGTAGTTGGGTCCTGGTTTGGTTTACAAACCTGGAAAGAATTCTTAGTACGGGTACACCTCAGAATTGCGGGTTTAGTTCCATCACAACAAAGCGAGTATTGCAATAAAGCGGCTTGTAATCTTATTGCTGGTGAAGGCTCTTGCCTTCAAACCTGTAACACCTGTGAAGTGCAATAAAACGAGGTAGGCCTGTGTGCCCACTCAGCTACTAAAAGTAACAACCCACGTGTGACCAGTAAGTATTGAGGACCTACAGCCGGCATCCCAGGGGCGAGGGGCCTTGGGAGGGGACTAGGCCTTCTAAGAAGGGAGGAGACCAACCCTCTGCACAGCGAGAGCAGCAGATAGGCCAGGACGAGGTCTCCCCAGAAACCAACCCTGATGGCGTCTTGACCTTGGACTTCCAGGCCCCCGAACTGTGAGAAAATTCATTTCTGTTGTGTTACTTAAGCCCCCCAGTCTGTGGTCTAGTGTTATGGCAGCCTGAGCTGATGAATACAGGGACCAACTGTTCCCATCTTTCAGGGGCTGGGGGAGTTCCAGGGACCGTCCTGAGCACCCCAGGACGAGTGGGTCACCCTAATCTATGAACTGATGTATGGGAAGTGTGTGGGCTTCCTACAGTGCACGGCATACAGTGAGTGCTCTGTAAATGCTAGCGATTGTTATCTTCCTTCACCAACTATTTGGTAATCTGCTTTGGGTTAAATGGGGATTAATGTATTGGGGGGGGGGCGTACATAATGGATAAAGCCGGCCCTCGTGGAGTTTACAGACATTTAGTGAGTGCTCAGACCAAATCATGGGGTCTAGCTGTGACCGGTTAAGAGCAGGGGCTATGTCAGGTGGCAGGACCAAGGTCAGACAGGGTTGGGCTCTGGAGAGGTGGCCTGTAGGCACTTCTCTCAGCTGTCCCCCCGCAGAAGCCACCAAACGAGGCAGTCACCCCAGTTGTTTCTTGTTTCTAAGAAATGGAAGCCCGAGACGCTGGCGGTGCCGGGGCCTGGTCCAATGACCACAGGTGTTCTGTCAAAGGGCTCCAGGAAAGCCCAGCTGCCCGCACTTTCCTTCTGACTAAAGAAGGTCTGGGAGTTCCCCGTCGTGGCCACGGGGCAGCAGGAAGCACCTGCTTTGGAAGATGTGGTACCAACCAAAGGCTTTTGTAATCGTCAGAAACGTCTTCTTGGGAATTTGTCAGGAATGCACATCAGAAGGCCTCGCAGGTGCTGGTTATTTCTACATCTAGCTGTTTCTTGGCACTGGCATTGGTGGACTTCTATGCCTTCTGGGACTCAGATGCAAATTCCAGCAGGGGTCGCTGTTTTTTTAGTAATTTGTCACAAGGCAGTGGAACCAACTGGCTTTCTGTGAGTTGGGGAAGAAACTCACAGTTAATCAAGCGCTACCTACACGTGAGAGCTTGCATTGTTTTACATCTATTCCCATCCACTCTTCATTTGTTCAGAAATATTTATTAAGCTTTTACTGTTTTCCAGGCATTGATATAGGCCAGATAAACTAAATATATAATATATAATGTCTAATGTTGATAAGGGCTACGAAGCAAAAATACACAGAGTAAGGCGGTAGAGTTCAGTGAAGGCTGGTATTTGAGGTGGGTGGCCACGGAGGGCTTCTCTGAGGAGGTGGCATTTGAGTAGAGACGTGAATGGAGTAAGGGAGCAAGACGGGCAAATGCCTAGAGGAAGAACATTCCGGAAAGGGGTCCTGACAAGGGCAAATGCCCTGGCATGGGAATTGGGTTGGTGTGTTTGAGAACAGCAAAGAGGCTCCCGTGTCTGGAGTGTGGTGAGCGAGGGACGAGGGAGAGGTGACTCGGTCTGATCAGCAAGGCCTGTGGGCGTGATAGGAACCTTGGGTTTGGTCCTGTGCCTGAGGGGAAGCTGTGCCTGCGGGGAAGCTGTCTGTCCAGCAGCGACTCTCAGTACCGGCTGTTCACTAGACTCACCCTAGGAGCCCTGGTCCCAGGGCCTCGCCTAGACAGCCGCGATCAGAACTCTAGGGTTGCAGCGGGCGTGCTGGTTTTCTGTACATGCCCCCTGGTTTCCTGGTGAGCAACCATGGCTCAACACCACAGCATCCGACACCATGTGTGAAACCACAATAAAATCTGCGAAAACGTGATGGGATCTAGTGTGTGGAAACGTGGCTGGGTCAGTGGAAAGACACTGTAGATCTAGTACGTGTGTGGAAACGTGGCTGGGTCATTGCAGACAGCTCTTTAAAACTATGCACTTTAAGCCCTGGTTCGCATTCTGGTCAAGGGCATACGCCCAGGTTTTGGGCTTGATCCTCAGTAGGGGGTGTGCAGTAGGCAGCATATCAATGTTTTGGGCTTGATCCTCAGTAGGGGTTGTGCAGTAAGCAGCATATCAATGATTCTCTCTCATCATTGATGTGTCTATCTTTCTCTCTCCCTTCCTCTCTGAAATAAATAAAAAATATATAAAAAATACTTTATTTTAAAAAACCTATGAACTTTAACTTGGAACACCTGCCTCCCATCAACCCAAATCTAAATGAGGATTAAAAAAGAATGTGGTATGCAATATAGGTCCAACCATTTAAAAACCTGGAAAATGGGGATCGCATATGTAGAACTTTTTTTGGTGATTACAATCACTGATGGTAGTATCATGTTATTATTCTGAGATATTCTAATTGTATCATCCCCTGTACCCTTGAGGACCAGCATTCCTGATGTGGGAGAAAGGAGATACAATATATATGAGGTTAATTTAAAATCTAGTCGTCCAGAATTGGAACTGGGAAAAACAGTATGAACTGCTGAGGTCTTTGATCACATGCATATATAATGTATATGCATGCATATATGTGTCTAGAGTAGTGCCTCTTCTCCGTTCACAGAGACCTAGAAACAATAGCACTCGGATTGTTGTCTCAAAATATCATTTCTCATGAAAAGAAACCAGGGTTTCTTAGAGGTCAGCTGATCCTAGCTTTGGGACAGGAAATGTACAAGATAAGAACGGATCATCTTGAAATACCAAATAGGAAGAAAGCTACCGAAGTTTATTAGGGTCACATCAAAAGGCTTTGGGAGAAGCATGCAACAGACTGAGATACCTTGATGTGGGGTTGGAAGGACGAGAAGAGATAAACCAAAGAACTTATACTTCTTGTATACTTACATGTATAGCCCATGGACACGGGCAATGGGGTAGTGAAGACTGGGGGTGGGCGTGGATAGGGGCTGGGAGGAGAGGTAAGGGGGGGGGTGTAAATAGACATCTGTAATACTATCAACAATAAAAAATATATACATTTTTAAAAAGGCTTTGGGAATCAACCTGGAAGATTCCATCGGCCATGAAAAGGATACTTTGGGCTTCAGTAAAGTGCAGTGGATTGAAACCCATTAGATATGTTTAAACTGTAAGTTCAAGATATTTAGAAAGGTTATTGGATCACATTTTGAGGAAAGGAACCAATTTATTAAAATTAGGTAAATAGGATAAAATGGATTTTTCTGCCTTTTCTGCATGAGCTATACCAGTGGATATAGCAGATAAGGGGAGGAAGTGACTCCTTATAAAGTTATTTCAGCTAATAAATTAAAATAAAATTAGAATTTCACCCATTTGCAATTCCTCAATGAATTAATGGATCTCTGCATTGAAGATCAGCCACTGTATCATCAAAAAGGAGCAAACCCCAGCCACAGTGTGCCTCTCACCCGAGATCAGCCAGACTCTGCTCAAGCTGCTGATTCCGCTGCTGGTTTGTAAGAGACACGGGGGCCAAAACCATACCGAATGGCACCATGAGTGTGCAATCAGTACAATCCAGACGAAAAAACTCCACAAATAGCAGCCTGGGTCTTCAGCAGAAAGTGGAAAGGGAAGAGATGAAGGGGAAACCTGTAGATTAGAGACTGGAAGAAATGACCTTTTTTTTAAAAAAAAAAAAAAAGTGGGTAAGACTAGTGTCTAGAGCTGCATACTTGCGATGAAATCACATAGGATACAGGGAGAGCCGGCCTGGCATGGCTCAGTGGTTGAGCGCCGACCTATGAACTAGGAAGTCACAGTTCGATTCCTGGTCAGGGCACATGCCCGGGTTGCAGGCTCGATTCCCAGTGTGGGGTGTGCAGAAGGCAGCCGATCAATGATTCTCTCTAATCATTAATGTTTCTCTCTTTCTCTCCCTCTCCCTCTCTGAAATCAATAAAAATATATTTTTAAAAAAGAAAAGAAAAAAAAACACAGGGAGAGAGGTTACTTTTGGGGGGAGTGATGCTGTGACTGGGATAGAGCACGAATGGGCTTGAGGTGGCTGGCGTGAAGGTTTTGTGTCCATTTGGCCGGGTCACAGTGCCAATATTTGGTCAAATGTTGTGGATGTTGTTGTGAGGGTGTTTTTTGGATATTAACATTTAAATTAGTGGACTTTGAGCAAAGCAGATTGCCCTCCATAATGCGGGTAGGCCCCATGCAATCAGTTGAAGGTCTTCAGACAATGAAGACTGACCTCCCCTGATCAAGAAGGAAGTCTACCACAGACTCCTCCCTGTGTCTCCAGCCTGCAATTTTGGACTCACCAAGTCTCCACCATCGTGGGAGCCAATTCCTTAAGGTAAATCTCTGTATATGCACACACGTCCTGTTGGTTCTGTTTCTCTGGAGACTCTTGACCAATACAGCTGGTAAAGTTCTATTTCTTGACCTGAGTGGGAGTGACAAGGGTGTCTGCCTTATAATCCACTGTGTTTGACATGGTTTTTAATGTTTTACTTTATAATGAAAAGGAAAAAATAAAGCATAAATTGTAGTTAGGTATGTAAATATGGAGAAAGGGGATTCTAATGATGAATACCAAACTGTATTTGAGGTTTCCGGGGAGGAAAGGGATGGCCAAGCTTTGCTCTGAATGTTTCTGTGCTGCATACTTCATGGGCCAGACAGCGTGTTTGTCCATCCTATATAATGAGGTAATATCCAAATTAACCCCCCCGCCCCCCCCAAGAGGCCCCCCTTTGCCAAACCCAGCAGGGGGGTTAGTGAGGGACAACCAAATGACTGAACAACCAGGCTGCATGGGGCAACCAGGCCAGTGGGGGGCTGTGAGGGGCAACCAGCCCGGCAGGGGGGGGCAGTTAGGGGAGCCAGGCTGGCAGGGGGGGGGGGCAGTAAGAGGCAACCAGGCTGTCGGGGGGGGGGGCGGCAGTTTGGGGCGATTAGGCTGGCAGGGG